CTCCGAGACGTTCCCAGGCCAGAGGGGATACATAATCCCTCCAGCGAGTCCTGGGTTTTCTCCTAAGTGCCAGATATATTTTGAATTTTTCTGGATCTCTGACAGACGGTCTTCAATCTCTGAACTCGTAAAGTTCTTCTTTTTAGTTTTCGCTGTCATTTTCATGAATGGACACTTCCTTGTATCTGAGGCAGGAAACATAGCCTTATATGGTGTTTTTGGGGTGGTAATTATGCTAATCTCCTCTCGCATGCATGAGTGTTTTGCTAAAAGACAGAATTCACCCCATCAATTCATGTCAAAGATTGGCCCAGTTATTCCTTTCTGCGAGTTTCAATAAAATCCATTCAGGGGTTTGTGAGATGTTTTGACAACATATAGGTAGGGTTCTCTATGATAGCTGATGTCTAAAATTTTAGTCTTAGTGTCAGGGTGTATGTTACGGGTGAATCTCAGCAAGAAAAAAACAAAACAAATATCAGCTCATTATCTCTGATATTGACATAAATATAGTCATTTTTGTTAGGTGTGGTGAGTATCTCTTTTCAGGTTAACTTCAAAACTGTAGATGCAATGAGCATTTTCTATGTTGTAAACATGTTGAGCGGTTCATGCAATATTTTGATGATACTTGAATAAATGAGCACACGCGTACAAAGGTACTGACATTATCACCTGCCTTTCATGATAGCCAAGAGAAAAAATCCAAATGAAAAGAGCTTGAATGAAAAGTGGGAAAAAGTTGGGTTGGGCAATAAAATAACAACAATATCTATCATCACTCAGCTCTAGAAACAAATCTGTGACCAAAAACACGGTCAAAGTTCAAACCTCCCACACACAGTACCCCCACTTCAAGGGACAGCTCCTGCATCCTACAAAAATAAAACATTAAAAACCATACCCATCCTCAGCTGAGTAGGTGAAGGGTCTCTGGATTGGTTGACAATTTACAACCAAACATAAACACAGGGAATGAAAAAATAGGGATGAACTGTATTACTGACAAATAATGAGTGAGAGAGGAGAAGGGTGGCAGGGAGAGTCAGCAGGAGGAGAGCAGGGCGCTCAGTTGTGCACAAAGGTACAACGAGGAAAGGCAGGAGAGAGAAAGAAAGAGAGGAGGGACTTGTGAGAGGGAGGAGGAGGGGAGAGAGGGAGTGATTGCATGAGATATTGTCAGCCAGTCCTGGAACAGAGCAGCAGAGGCAGAAGCAGCAGCAGACGGGACGCAGACGCTCCGAGCAAACCGAGGATATAAAAGGGAATACACGCTGATGAGGAGGCAACAACAACAGGAGAGGATGGAATTAAAGAAAGCCGTTTGATTGCTTTTCCTTCACACTTTTGTTTGGAGCATCCCACAAGCAGAGCACCAGTGAAAACACATACATATGATATATATATAAAATTCCTATACATATATATCAAATTATGCCTGTTTTCAAAGAAGCTGCAGCCGGACTACGACTGAATTAACATCAAAAAGCGACAAAATTTGGGAGATATTATGCAGCATTTGCTTAAAAGCTGTTGTATATTGTCACTTTGATGTTTTTCTCTCAAATTTTTTTCATTATTTTTTTTGGCAAAAAAAAGAAAGAGGCAAACAGAAAAGAAATCTAAAACTGGGCAACTGAGTAGTTGAGCCAACATTTTGGTTCATTTCTAAAGGGGCTTCTGTTGAAAACAGGATGTACATATTTTTTTTGATCTGCCCTTGCGGGTGCCACACTGCCGTTTGGCTGTCGCATCTCCACTTGTTTTCTGTCGTCCGTGTGGGTCGTGGCTCTGTATAAATCCAGCGAGGCTTTGCTGAAAGTGCAGAGGACAGTCCACACGCTCCCCCTGACCCCCTCTTTACCCACCCATGCTGATAGCATCCTCAGGCACAGGGGGGAAAGTCCTACAGGGTCTGAGGGGAAAAAGAGGGGGGTGAGGTAAGTTGGTGGAAGAGACAGGAGGCAGGAACATCAAAGAAAGGATGGCGGGAGATTAGGATTAGAGAATGGAATGAGCGGGAAAAAGTAAGGAAGAAAAAGAAAGCAGCAACGCCAAACAACCGTGCCACTCTTCTTTCCACGGAGCAGATCTAAAACAGTGAGATTTAGCACCAAAACAGAACCCCCCCTCCCCCCCGTGCTGCAGGACAGATCTGAGCAGGCTGAAAGGCAGAGTAGTGTCCCGGGTCTGCCAGAGAACCTGTGAATCCACGAAGAAGAGGGGTTTCAGGGCAGCAACAGGAGCTCTGCGCATGCCGAGCACCGAAAGCCGCTGGACTCCTGTGTGTGCTGCTTAAAAGCTACTCACAGGGTTTCTGTCATCAGGGAACTGAGCTGCTTTTGAATGTGTGTGTGTTTGAGAGGAAGTGTGTGCACGTGTGAAAAGCAGGGGGGGAAACAAGCCCCTTAGGGATGCTTTTGGACTCTTAAGTACCACAAGATTTTAGCTGGAAGATAATTAGATAATTAACAGCTGTTGTTGTACCTGTTGGGTCTTCGGCTGAACACAGGAAGGAGCTATCTGTGCTAACTTAAAGCAGATCAGTTCACAAAGATATCAGCTAAAGAGAAGGAGGAACATTTTTCAAAGTGGACTACAGTGAGAAGATGCCCACTGCAAAAGTAAAAAAGCTTCTTTGGGACGATGACATTGAGAAAAGCAGGATGATAAATGCAAGTTAAGATCTGAGGAGGACATATCTGGACACTAGACCCGTTTTGACTTCTTTGTTAAGTTATCTGCTCAGGAATATGAGTCTATTTTTGGAATGATCTAAATAAAACAAACTCCATGGGGAGCTAACTGCAAGTTTGAGAAGGATTTGCTTTGCCTGTTAGTGCCATTAGGAACCCACAGTTCTCACTTTTCACAGATTATTCATCCACTCGATGGGAGAGCTCATTGCTGGAAATGCCAGGGGGCAAGTTCATTCATAGGTAATACGCCCTCCTGAACTGGAGCTTCGCCTTCTAGGATTTGGTTTTGTCTACGACCAACCTCTGCTGTCTGCTGATGCCGCAAGGGTTTGTGAAAGGTGAACCATTGTCTTGCTTCTTGTAGACAGCATTTCACTCTGAAACCGTGCAAATTCTGAGTTGTTGAGAAGTATTTCCAGATCATACTCCACTCACTAACAGATCACGTGGGATTTTTGTTAACAAGTTTAGCATGCAAGGTAGGCATTTATTTAAGGAATGTTAGTTTACATTTTAATGACATCAAAGGACAACAAATGAAATTTGAGAATTTGCATTTCTTGTGAAAATGCAGGGTGCAAGCTTGATGCTGAAAGATTTTTGCTGAATAGCTAAAAAAGCTAAAACTAGTCTAAAAATAGCTTAAAATAGCACAAAGAAACAAAGCATGTTTGCTGAATTGAGCAGTAAGACGCTAAAGATTATCGCAAAGTGAATTTACTTGAAAAAATCGAATTAGCTAAATAGTAGCTAAAACACAGAAAACCGATTAAATCAGCACAAAGCAGCTAAATAATAATAAAAACTGTAAAACAGCAGAAAGAAGCTGAAAGAAGCACAAAGTTGAAAAGGTCTGAATTGTCAYTAAAGGGCACAAAACAATACGAAAATCAGCACAGTAGCTGAAGAAAGCTGAAATTAGTGCAAAAAATTAAATAAAGCAGAACAACAAGAAAATCCAAGTGTATAAAGCATATATAGAAATTGCTGAAATAGCACAAAAAATGTGGAATGAGATAAGTACTGAAAAATGCAGGGAAAAAATAAGCATACCAACAAAAAGTAGCCTTATCGCTAATTCAGACTCATTTACATTATTGTTTAACAATATACAATGCCCTTCTTTGAAATTTACAAACTAAACACAACATTCAAATCTCTAAATAAGATATATAAATGTGTTTCTTCTTGTTTCAGGATCTTTTGGCCTTTTCGTATTAACTCAATTGAGTTAAGACACTGCAAAGAACTGCAACCCAAGATGGCCACTTCCATGTATTCACTACTGATAAACTTCTCATTGGCCATTCTACTGGGTTTGACCTCCTTGAGTGGACTGAACTCGTGGCCATCAGGTCAAGCTTTGGCACAAGCACCTTCCAGCAACCAGACAACCGAATCATCTGTGTTAACAGAGGCAGCTCTGGCAACGCCAACACCAGACCCAGAGGTCCAAACAGATCCAACGGCCGGGAACCGCTGCTGGGGTTACTATGACGTAATGGGCCAGTGGGACCCACCGTTTAACTGTAACGCAGGTATCTACAGGTTCTGTTGCGGCTCCTGCTTCTACCGTTTCTGCTGCCAGTTCAAAGTCCACAGTTTGGACCAGACCTCCTGCTCCAACTAYGACACTCCTGTGTGGGCGAACACTGGGAAACCGGGGGTGCCCGTCACTGAGGGCCATCAGGAACCTGATCGGGATCGGACCCATATGATTGTGTATATAATCTGTGGGGTGGTGGCCATCATGGTGCTGGTGGGGATTTTTACTAAACTCGGACTGGAAAAGAGTCAAGGAGGACAAACGGATATGACCAACTCCAGGTAGGAGCTGATGTAGATGGATGGATGGATGGATGGATGGATGGATGGATGGATGGATGGATGGATGGATGGATGGATGGATGTATGGATGGATGGATGGATGGATGGAAATTATTGGGCAGGTGAGGGAGCTTTTTTGGATTTATCTCAGTGGTACCTTAATTACTAAACAGTTAGTTAACTACTAACAGCAGTCATCAGTCAGTTTGGTTAGCTTAGCGCTAAAATTAAATCAAGGGAAAGGAGCTTTTCTGACTAGTTTGTTCTCTAAATAATTTTTCCTTTCTCCATTGTTTGGTTTCTGTGTTAACCATCTGTTAGTCCCAGCACATACAGTATGTGTAAATATGGAGGTAACTTTTCCATTTTTTCCTCTTTATATGCCTTTTACTTTCAAATGTGTGTTTTTAACAATCAGTCAAAACTTTTGAAACATTTTAGGGAAAGGTTTTGAAYAATGAATACCTTACTTGCTGTATAGCTCTTTGAACCTCTTTAGTTTGGAGGAATAAAGTTCTGACCAGGTTAATGGACCACTATATAATTAATCACTAATTATGGCTAATAAAATTAAAATCTCAATGTTTAAATTTTTTAATAATGGTTTATTAAAATTCCATTTTCCAAATCTTTCAATTAAAAAGGTTATTCTGGCAGGCAGACTGGCTTCAAAGAATGTGTGTCAGCTGGAATTYGCTGTTGTGGAAAATGACTAAAATTCAGTGTAAATAAATAACCATGTATTGGGAAAATGACTGCAATGTAAAGATTTATAAATGTTCCCTATAAATGGCTATGACATTTTTAAGATTGGCGTAGTTTTATGATGGAAGCAATCGACTTTTGTTTTAGCAATAGCCTGTCAGTTTGGTCAAAAATAAACTGAAGATTTTCAAAAAGTAACAGGTAAGATAATATTTGTTTAGACGTTTTCACAGAACCTCATGTTAAACCATTTGAACTATTAGATTAGGCTTAATTTGTCTACTACTAACAAACTGACCACATAAATGATGGTCAAATTACTTGAAAATTAAAACATATAACCTAATAAGAAAAGAAAACACTGCATCCCATACTGCTCAGAATAAATAATCTGTTGCTTCACTTTTTGTGTTTATTTTATTCCCAAATGTTAAAGTCAATGAACCACTAATTAAATTAAAACCTGAATTAGCTTTCAGATTTAACATTGTTCTGTAAGGCGTTTTAGCACATCACCAGCAGACATGGCATATTGCAGACCTGCATATTTCCATAAATGTGTCAGAATGTCACCGGCCAGGTAATCAATACAGCGACCGAATGGAATAACTGTGAGGTGTTAATTGGTCTGACGCCCATTTGTAACCACGAGGGAGCCATGGATATACTGAGCTATTCTCAGGTTGCAGAGAAAAAAAAACTAAAAAACAAGACATGAAGAGACGACAGGCAGAGACTAAAGAGAAGTCAGTCGAGCARGGGTTTGGAGGAGAGCTGGTGACGTTTGGTGGAAACCAGAGGACTCTGTTGTTGCGTTTTCTCTACGCTGGTGTCGCAGCTCCACATCGATGGCTGATCGATCGCTGTGACACAACTCTGACCGTGGCAACACGTGGCCTCTAGAGAACAATGAGAAGCATGAGGGTGGGTTCTTTCTGGGGAAGGGTGGAGTATTGATCTGATGTGGCTGGAAGGCAGCCAGTGGCTTGTATACAAAAAGCAGGAGTGCGTGTTTGTGTGAGAGAGAAAACGAGAAGCAGGGAGAGGGAGGAAGAGAAAGTGCGTGTGCTCCGAGTGATCAGCAGCCAATCAGGTGTTAAGAGTTGAAGCATGAGAGTTCCTTTAAAATCTTGTCAATACCTGGTCCTCTCTTTACTTCGCCGGGCTGGACGATGAGGATAGACGAACACATTTCTTGTTGAACTGTACTGATTTATTAAGAAAAGCTGACACGTCCGGGCATCTTTTACTCCTTGAACTAATGTTCGATACCACTGATTTCCTTTCTGAGTCTGATACTTAAAACTCAGGCTGGTGTCAGCAATACTGATCCATTACTGATACTTTGTGCAAACACACCTAATGTGTCTTGTAAATCTAAAAAAGTAACGTATTTCAAATTATAACTTTATAAAAAAATACAAGACTCCAGGTAATTTTTGTATTTGTTTTCAACTCAGAGGTATATCGAGGTAGCGCTCTCATCTACAATATAGTTGAGCTAACAGAAGATACAGAGACACAATCATATGCAATTTGTGAAAATGGTGTTTTAAACAATAAAAAAGAAGTAAAATGATAAAACCATTCAAATAAATGATTGTTTCWTTATCAAGGACTAACATAAAAAGGAAAACTTACATCTAAAATTACGTTACATCAACATAATAAAATGAAAAAAAAAAAAACTGAACATGTAACATCTACAGACTGAGCACGTGACACACTGTTACCTGAAATGACTGAAGTATCAAAGCAGCGATATTTTGATTTTAGATTCGATTTTAGAGCATGAAGTTCAGGTATAAATTTGGCACATATAACATGAGCAAACTAGCATTTTGGACTTTTGAGACTCATAAACAAGCAAACAAACAAACAAATACAAATTGGAGAAACAAGTTTGACTTTAAAAGATAGTTCAGATCTTTTGAAGTTGGACTCAGTAGAAAAGATGAGAAACAATTCACTTCTTATCAGTTCAAACTCACCAGCTAATGGCTAGTCTAAATGGGCTGAGCAACAAAGTGAGTTGTTTCTATCTTAAAACAATTTAAAAAACATAAAACAAAACAAAACAACAAGAAAAAAAACTATCACTTGGTTTTAGTGTTGTTTTTGTTCTCTTATAATAAAAACTGGCATTCTTTGAAGACATTAGCATATCACTCACCTTCTTGCACGGTCAAGTCAAAAACAAAAAATAAAAAGTGTTCAATTTGCATGTTAGTGCTTGGTGTTTATATTGGGTTGACTCTCAGCTACTACCACACCAACGTTTAGCTCAGTATTGGTTAAAATGCAGAATAAATTTGCTTGTTAAGGCTGTAATTAGATTGGCTATAAATATTAATTAGTTGTATATGTTAGACCAGTTTGATGTAAGTCTACGGTCCTAAAAATATAACAAATACAAGTACACACACACACACACACACACACACACACAC